TATGTAGAGTGCTACATTTTTCAGTGTATTTTTCGTACAACTACAACCATCCAGGGTCACACACGAGGGGGTAAACACCAGGGCTCTTTTTCTTCTTTTTATTTCTTTTCATGCCCCACCTTCCTCCTGCGGTGCGTACTGAATTTTTATTTTTATCGCGAGAAGGGTCCAGTCGTCCCTTTCCCTCGTCAACGGTGCTAACGTCGAAGTTTGGTACTCACGAGAGCTTTTTTTGCCATCTTCGCTTTCACCCGCAAATTTTGAATTTCGTAAATTTTTCACCCCAAGGGGATTCGAACTCACGACCTCTGCAACTAGCGGATTACGAGGGTACCACTAGACCACCCGGGCGACCGTCGAGCTGGGTGGGAGGTAGACGGTAGAGGAGGGAGGGGGTGGTGGTGTAGTTTTGAAGGGACCTGTTGACGAGCGCACATCAAACACATGTGCTAGGTATCGGCTCGAATGGGCGGTGCTCGTCATGCATCGTGTGCTCGTTATGTACCGTGCTCGTCATGCAATCCGCACCCTCGGCAGTGCTCTGAAGAGCATGTATGTTTTTTTTTAGTTGTGGTCCCCGGCAGCTTGCCCTTTCTTTTGCACTTGATGTTCCCCCATACAACGACTACACGAGCATCCACCGCCGTTTTTTGCATGCGAGCATCTGATTGTGGTGGCGGCAATGCCTACACGGCTTGAACCGGTAGCACGCAGCACCTGTGGCAGCCGCATGCCCGAGAGTGATCACACACATCCCACCACGTCCTGAATTGCCACCGAAGAGTCCGTGTTCCACGTTCCTTACGGTCTATTGGCAAATTTTAACTCCCTCGGGAGATAAAAATATGGTTAGGCGTGGCTATCGGGAACGTGTGTGGCATTTTTATTTCCAGGAAAATTATTTTGTGTGGCTGACCAATCAGGCAATAATCCCGAGTTCCCTGTTGCCTGTTCCCTGTCCAGAAAATGGACGCTATTATAGTACACGCCTGACAGACACAATATTGCCAACGACAGACATGACCTGCAGACAGGTGACCAGTTATGATCCACAGATAGCACCCGGCAGTTGGAAGAAGTTTGTTCTTAGGGCCTGCACTAACGTCCACTTACTGGACAGGGAACAGGGAACGAAGAACGAGGAATTTTTTTTTTTTTTTTTTTTTNCAACTTACCAATGACAATCCTGATGGTATCCTATATGCGTTCGTAAGCTTGCTAAAATACTACTGCGTTGATGTCCGCTTGTAAAAGCTGAAATCCAACAAATGCTTTGATCCATGCTACATCTCCGTGTTGGAAATATTGTACGATTGGCCAGACACACGAAAAAAACAATTGAAAAGAACTCTCCTGGAAACAAGAAATGAGACGCACGTTTCCTGTATAGTCTAAGGTAGTTGCGCCGCACCATACATTTCACTCCCGAGGGAGTTTTTATTAGCCAACAGACCTAGGGAACGTGGAACACGGGCTCTTCGGCGGCAATTCTGGACGTGGCGGGATGTGTGTAACCACCCTCGGGCATGTGGCTGTCACAGGTGTTGCATGCTACCACTTCAAGCCGTATAGTTATTACCCCCATCATCAGGTGTCTTGCATGCGCAAAAAATGACGGCGGATGCTCGGGTAGCTGTTGCATGGGGGAACAGAAAGTGTCGAAGAAATGGAAAGCTGCCGATGACCACAACTCAAAAAGCAAGTCTTCCAGAGCACTGTCGAGGGTGCGGATTGCAAGACGAGTACCGCCTGTTCTAGCCCATTGTTAGTTACTAAGGGCGTGTACTAATGTCTCTTTGATGGACAAGGACCAGGGAACAGGGAACTCGGAATTCCCTGCTCCCTGGTCCTTGTGGTAGTAGTGTCCTAACATACACCGCATTTCCAGGAACACGGAGCACCAAGCACCCTTTATGAGCCCAACACCATTTGTAAGCCCAGCACCATTTGTGAGTAAGGCTACTGCTGTACAGCGGCAAATTGTACCCCAACCTTCAGGAACTGTAAGAATCCCAGCCTAGAGCAAAACCAGAGGTTCTTAGTGTTGGCATTTTCTGCTGTACCACATGCAAGTGGGCTGTGTGGATAGATGGAGTTGTATATCCGGCCGCCACCGAGTCTTAGGTTTGAGGACACTCAGGCACTTATTGGGTCCAGTCTCCGAACAGGTGTCCCGATTTCTTCTGTGTGAAGGTCTCCATCAACCCTTCCTTCCCAAGGTCTGGTTCGGGTGGATACTTCGTTTATTAATCATCGTTGGGGGCCCTGGTCTCTTTGCCGATTTTTATGCGCATGGTTGTGTGGGTGAGAAGTTCTGTTGTCTGTTGTTGTTGTTGTCGTGTAGCTGTTATTGTCTTCACATTGAAAACCGTTCCGGTCCCCGCTCAGTACCTTCTAATGTCCGTACTGGTCCAAATGACGCGGACGTCTTGCGTGGTCACAAGCCAACCACCCCCCTAAAGGGTATACACCTTTCTACAAGTCAAATAAAAATGGACCCCAGAAGTGTTCTCCAAGGCGAGATTGGTATATATACCCAAACGAGTAAGATTTGTGGAAAAGAGGGTTTCGTCCTCGACAGACGTTGGGGAGTTTCATCCTTTATGAAGGTGTTCTCCACACTACCCCCCCCTTTTTCGAGGCTTCTCCTTGTTTGCTAGGCAAGAGAAGTCTTCTTGGGGTAAACGGAACCCGACCGGCTGCGAGTAGAACCACCATTTTTCCAACAATTTTCTGTGCGTGTTGCGGGTGCGCCACTTCCGCCACGCATTGCCAGAAGTTTCGAGTTCGATAGACAGTGCATAGTTTCTTGGCCCACCCACCGTTTTTCTTTTTTCGTACTCCGGAAGAAAATTAGGTGAGCAGCGGGTTTTGAACACGTGTCTCTTGCAACCAAAAGCAGACACCTGACATCTCTTCGTCGATGCCATTGTGGAAAAGAGGGTTTCGTCCTCAACAGACGTTGGGGAGTTTCATCCTTTTTATGAAGGTGTTCTCCACAGATTAGACTAGACTTATCGGGATTGTCTGGTGTTGTCGTTGTTGTCTCCACATTAAAAACCGTTCCGATCTCCTTCCACCCAGTACCTTCATATGTCCGTACTGATCCAACACTTGACGCGGTCGATTCCCGTGGTCAAAGGCTAACTTACCCTAACAAGGTACACTCAAATAAACTGGCCCCGAGGGGTCCGCAAGTCAAAATAAATCAACGACAGATAGTCTATTCTGAAGTCCTCCGCTCCCTCTGCGCGCTATGCGAGGTAGCAACTCAGACTAGGAGTCAGCATCACGGGCCCGAGAGAAAGATGTACGCCCCCTTGGTTCAATCTTGGTACTTCACAACACAAGAAAAGACAAGGTCATCTGACACAGAAAAAGAGAGAAAAAAGAGAAATCCAGACGATTGACCCGGGGTCGTCATCCGTGGATTCGGCGTTGGTACCGAACTCTACGAAGTCGTCCTTCAAGCATAACACCCAACTATTTTCCGGGCGTCCATTGTTTGGGCCCTTCCCCCCTCCGATATCTCCGAACATCATTCGCTCCGGGTATCTCCCGTCCGGTTGTCTGGCCAATGCTCCAGCAAACAGTAGTCGCCGTTGTCGGACACTAGCCTCCACGCGTTGGCATCCGACCTTGCGATCGTTTTTTAGAACCGTTGCCCCGTTGACTTCTTGTCGCACACACCGGTGCCACAACACCGATACCGATGCGGAAATCCAACTAAAGCATTGCACCCGACCCCCGATGGGATGACATCGATGGGTGCGATCGGAAGAAATTACAGTGTGTGGCCATTCCTCGCGCCCACCTCGACGGAGCGATAGACTATACATCTGCATGAACGAAAGGAATGGCGCCCCTATTGATACCTACCGGCACCTTGCACTATCACGAAATTTACGTCCTTGACTGAGCAAGTTTTGTTTCGTTAATATCGCACCGGGCGGAGTGCAATTCAATCATCATGCCGTTTTCGCTTTTAATGCGCACCTCGAAGCCACAACACCGATGGGTGCGAAATGAACGATGGGTGACATGACACGCACAAATACGATAGTCTAGATTGGACGAAAAAACACACGCGCGCACACTGAAGCTATGCGGGTCCTCCACCCACATCCATCCTTCTACCTATATGCCTCACAACCTCATGAACACTCCCTCTGCTATGCAGCTGTCATTGAGAAAAGAGAGATACTTGGGTCACCCTGTCCGCCCTCACACAGCCTCCATGAAATGCAGCTACCTCAAGTGTTCTCCCACATCTCTAACACCGAATCACACCCCGGAAACAAATTTCTGGCCTCTTAAGAACGTTATCATCAGATATGTTCTCTGTGTGGAGAATGTGGTACCTAGACCAAATACATCATCGTCGAGTCCATGATAACCAGTAAATATTTTATAACACCGGGTAGGGTATCGGGTGCGAGTGAGATTTCGCACCGCGCATTCCAACCTAAACGGACTAAGCTATCGTGTGGATGTCTTGGTGCCTTCATTTTGTTGCATCCACCGGGCTGTACCGGGCTGGCCAATGGCAGTACTCATGGTAAATCTCAGTGCAGTTGAAACTGAAAGCGTTTCCAAAGGCTATCATCGAACACCCGTGAGCAGGAGTCATGGAAGGACTGTTTTCCGGACAAAAGGCAGAAACTATAACAGACAAGACGTGTCTTGATTGTTTGCATTAACCGGTCTGTGCGTGTGTATATTTCCGTACCGTAACAACAAAACATGGTCAAATATCTATTCGTAAGTGATTTAGTAAAGAATTGCACTTGCTGGGATTCATGAATGGGTTGCAGAGCATCACCGTCTCAAGTAAGAAGATTCGACCACCACACGCCGCGAAATTGCAAGAATTAGGCGCAACGTGTTTCTACCCCCCGTCCCACCATAGATCCAAACGCCTATGCGTTCCGCCGGCCCACCTGAAAGTATCGGTTGTTGCCCCGCCTACCTTTTGACCCCGTGTTAACCTGTTGAAATAGATGGCTCGATTGGTTACGACGACGTGGTGATTTCTCCCGGCAGCAGCATGTCGTCCATGGGGAGCGCCACCACGTTCAGTGCCGGCGGACGGACTCCCGTTGGCGATAGGCCAGCTCTCAAGGCCCAGACCTCCTTCTTCACGCAGGCCTTCGCGGAGCCACCGGAGGAGACCTCCAGGGATGGCGGTGGTCGCTGTGGGCTGATCGCGGAGCATCTGGCGGAGATCGCGTCGGGGAAGGAGCCCTCCGAAGCGTCATCATCGACTGCCGAAGAGCAGAACAAGCCCCGCTCGCTTATCGAAACCAAACTTCAAGGAGAAGGAACGGGCGAGGAAAAGTCACCGTTCCTGTCTCCGACGGCCCCGGCCGCCCCCGGTGCGGCCACGGGCGCGGCCTCACCCACCGCCGAGCCCTTCGCTTCCGCTCCTTCACCTCCCACGCCGGCCGTGGCGCCAGTGGCAGCGGCGGGGCGAGACGCGCAGGGAGAGCGGCCCATGCACGGCGGCTCTTCTTCTACGCGTTGGCCGCCCAGGGCCCCAAAATCCGCCCCGTCAGTGCCCGCCGCCGAAGCGCCAGCTCCAGAGCCAGCGCAGGTGAGAACGTTACCGGAGGCGCCAAGGGACGTAGTGTTGGACAGAACGGCTCCCACCACAACCGTTTCAACGGCAGCGGCGTCCCCGTCTCCGCCTCGCGGCGAGAAAACGGCCAACCCGGCGGCGGCGGCAGCGGCTCCCCCGGTGGAGCAGGCCGCGCCATCGGCAAAGGTTCAGCCAACAGCAAGCACAGCAGACGAGGAGAAAGAGGAGACGGGAAGGGCGGCTCCACGAGACAGTTTCTTCGCGCCCATTCCACAAGGTTTGTGCGTGTTTTGTGCTTCTTTCGGGCCGTGCTCTGATGAGGTAGGTTGGGGCACGCTCTTGCCCTCCCAAGTATCAAAGCTTACGTGATGTTGTGGATGCCTCGAGGAGTGCATGGTGCTTGCGAAGTGCGGGCTGCCGGGCTGTCTTGACGTCCTGAGCGCCACGACTGCCTGCATTGGCTGTCTGGCTCTTCACATCGCGCCTGTTTTCCTACTACACTACGAAAGGGTGCGAACGTTGTATTGCTGTCCCATCGCTCCTGCACTCCTCCACTCCTATACCCCCCTCGTAAAAGTGCTTCTACTCATCGCGCACCTGGGCCTATGCCACCAACGCTTGGCTCTCTGTCTCTCTGTCTCTCGGTCCCTTTCTCTCTCTCTCTCTCTCTCTCTCTCTCTCTCTCTCTCTCTCT